TCGAGAACCTCAATAAAAAGTTATTCTAAATGCTGACAAAAACATAACAATCTGACAAGTAAATAAAGCTCTGCGTAAAATTGAAAGTGCCATCACCTTGCCTTATATAACCGCTTTTGTGACCTGATGAAAAAGAACGTTAACCAGCTTCTAAATGATTCATTCTGAAAACTGTCATGATGATTTAATTGATCTCGTTTTAAAATATTTTCTGAATGAAACCCTCACCCCCTCCCAGTATGCACCAACACCTGAACACGGCCTGAGTCAAAAACAAAGTAACTGCTTAATAAACTTTCACAGTCAGTTGAAAACCAGTCTTAGATATGTCATTGTTAATATACTGTTACGATATGTAGATTAACTATTACATAGATTTACCTTGCTAAAATAGCCAAAGGCTCGGGTCAGCGGACTTAACCGCGTATATAAATTATTTTACATAAGTGACCTGGCAGTTGGTGTTTTGTTGTAAATACACAGGAATATGAAGAACTGACTTCTCAACAGTTTTTCTTCAAAATCCTTCCTATAGTCATATTTCCCACAGGTTAGTTAATGACCAACTTCAAGTGACGAAATTTTCGAGCCTTTGCAATAAATATTTGAGTCGGCCATACAGCAAGGAGTTGCAATGATCAACCTTTGAAGTAAGAAAGGTATGTCCAAGGGTTTTCGTTAACCACCTCATCAACAATGGTCAGATTACCAATGTTTGGTCTTGGATGATAACAAGAGGAAAAGACCAGCACCTCCGTTTTATAGAAGCAACGGTCTGCACTTTACAAAACTTTTTCCTTCGGCCACTGATTTCCAAGCTCCTCGAGTGTTCCTCAAAGGTCGCAAAAGGCTTATCAAAGCGGCACATTGAAGGAGTGGGCGGTCTACCGCTTCAGGAAACTCTCGTATCTATTTTTCGAGCTCATTGTGGCACTTTAGTCTCTGTTTGAGTAATAAGCGTGTAGGCAGTAGCTGGCCATAAAAACGACTCTCCCTTGTTTATAGGAAACACCTCATCCTATCGATGAATCACTGCAAAAGAAGAGTCTACAAGACGAAGTAAACTGGGACGGGAGGGGAAGTCTGGTCATCCAACCCTCTCCCCTCCCCCCACATCCCCCAATCTCTTTCCCCAACTCTTCCGTTTTACTTATCGGCTCTCGTGCACTGCTTCTCAATTTCTTATTGTAAATTGAGATAAACACTTTCAAAACCAGGGAATCTTGATCCTTCAGTAAACCTTGGCTTCTTGTAGTAAATCTTCTCGTTTCAATCGCCCAGTTTGAAAGTTCCAAAGTCCGCTTATGTGACTAAAGGTTAGAGCTGAGGAATGAGGACGAACTTAAACCGAATGTAGAAGTCGCCATATTGGATCGATCTGTAAGATCGACGAAGGCTTGGAGCTTAGCAATATTGCGTCGTCGGTACTTGATCGGAATATTTATAGTTCTTGCAAGTTAAGCGTTCTTGTAGTTTATGTCAATTAGTCTTAGGTTGTGTGCTCCCTTTATTTAATGTGTCAAATTTTATATTACATTTTGCGTATTTTGAATTAAGCTAATTATCTTCGGTTAGTTCGGGTTTAGTTTGCGTCTGTTGAAGTTAAGTTCAGGTTTGGCTAAACTGCAGAATACCCTGCCACTCATTTACATGTCATTGAATAACAATAGCGTCTCTTGTGTTCTGCCTCGATCTTCAAAGCCTCCCAACACAGGTAAATGAGGTGGACCAAAGTGGCAGGGTATCCTGCAGTTACCTCATTTCAATACATTTGGAACAGAATTAAAGCTAACAACACGAACAAAACTGAAACAGAACGAAAGGAAGGTTCATCCTCAATAATAAAAAGGAAGTGATAAACTTATCGTTCCGCGCGCCATGATTTATTCTTAAACTGCACAGAGTTCCTATCTATCAAAACAGGAAAAACTAGGGGAGCCTACATTGTTTTCTGTCAGATGGACCGGGAAGAGGCTTATATGCGGCAATTTATGGTATGCGTTTTTCTAGTTTGGCTTAATTATGTCCGAACGAGTTCAATGTATGGGGCCACGAAAGAAAGAAATGACAAGGAAGCATCCAAACTAGTCGCGAGACACTTTAATCTCCCCAATCATTGTAAGCAGAATATAGCAGTCTGCAGTCTTTCCCTACATCTAGGCAATTAGTTCGGAAAGCTGCAAAACTCAAGAACAAAAATTGTTGTTTCAAGTCGGTACTCTTAATCCCCACGGTATCAAAGAGCGCCTTTCATTTAACTAATTTATTCTTGTTTTCTCGTCACCATATTCCCACCAATAGCGTAGCTCAATTTTCTTCAGATAAAAACAGACACAACGCACAATTCCTCCACTCGCTTTGACGAAGGGCTAAAGCTCGAAACGTCAACTTTTAAACTTTTTACGGTGGCCAATTCACGTTATTAACTCAGTTACCAAATTACCCTGTTATAATCTCCCACCGACGCAACACTACAGTTTATTTAGAAACTTACCCCTTTACTTATCTGAAGAATTATCCGTTTTTAGAAATTAAATTGTAATTTTATTGGCTGAGGAGCTCCGTCCAGGCTTCAATTCACGTCATATTTCAGTACATGTGAAACTTTCATGGCAAGGTATTTATCATTTCTGCTGGAAATTGTCACCATGCAGCAACTGTCTCGATTCAATTGTTTTCACTTTGTGCAAGTGAATAAGTAGCCGTATCTACTAGGATGAGTTTTATATAGCAACTCACAACCATTTCAGCGAATTTTACTTTGTACTTAATTGTATCTTTGTTGTTTTCCGCTCAAGTTAAGTTCAGTGAAAGAGACACTTGTAATGATCGACTAATTTCTTATCAAAAGTGTGCGTGAATTATTCATTTAATATCTTCCGATTGCTCAATCAGAAGTCCAATCAGAAACTGAGTTGGAAATCCTCAAACAATTCGCATCGCTTTTTGTAGTCGTCTTTAGGAATGTCCAGCTATACAAGGCTGTCACAGTAATAATTTGTTGTTCACTGTTTTCCATCACCTAAATATTTATGCATCATACAATTTTCAATTACCCTGCAAAGACCTTTAGTCAAGGCTGGTTTCGTGTGCTGCGAAAAAACATCAAAGACGAGTTAAAATGATAAGTGAAGTTGTGGGATTCAGGAACTTTCCTGTAAGATACATGGTTATTTTTTCGTTCGTTTACAAATTAGCCTTGCTCTCAGTCGGTGTGACTTACTAATTTAGGTTCAACTAACAAACGTGTAGAAAATACCGACAGCCAGATATCAATTTATTGAGTTTCACCAGAGTTTACCTTAAAATCTACACTATAGACCTACAATATAGGAAAGTGATTGCTCTTCTGTAACTCCTAGAAACAATTCTTGGGAACTTTTAGTCAATCCACCAGCAACGAATGTTCTCAATATATTTCTATCTAATATAAGCAGAATCGTTCTTTCCAACATGAAAATTACAGTGCTTTACTCCACTTTGAGTGAAAGAGCACGCTACTTAAAGTCTAAACATTCCTGGCATTTGCACCTTCTTTATTCTATAAGCGAAAGCAATTTGTGGCTGACATTGTCCCCTGGATATTATGAACTATAATCTTGCCTCACCATAACATTGTATGCTTTTAACGCGCAAGAATTTGAGTGAAAAAAGACGTGGGATAATTTGTTGTTCACTGTTTTTATCACCTACATATTCATTCATCATACAACTAAGGACGTACGAGCCATGTTTAATTCTCCCCCATCCCCCCCTCCTACCTTCCCTCGTTTGCATGTGACCACGGGCCTTGCTCTAAGCTCTAAGCCTAAGAAAACATTATGCTGAAAAAAGTGGTTTTATCACCATAAAGTTTCCCCTGAACCTCTGGGAGTGAACCTCTGGGAGTGAACCTCTGGGAGTGAACATCTGGGAGTGAACATCTGGGAATGAACACCTGGGAGTGAACACCTGGGAGTGAACCCATGGGAGTGAACCTCTGGGAGTGAACCTCTGGAAGTGAATCTCTAGGAGTGAACCTCTGGGGTGAACCTTTGAGAGTGAACCTCTGGGAGTAAGCTCTAAGCCTAAGAAAACATTACGCTGACAAAAATGGTTTCATCACCATAAAGTTTCCCCTGAACCTCTGGGAGTGAACCTCTGGGAGTGAACCTCTGGGAGTGAACCTCTGGGAGTGAACCTTTGGGAGTGAACATCTGGGAATGAACATCTGGGAGTGAACACCTGGGAGTGAACACCTGGGAGTGAACACCTGGGAGTGAACACCTGGGAGTGAACACCTGGGAGTGAACACCTGGGAGTGAACACCTGGGAGTGAACACCTGGGAGTGAACCTCTGGGGTGAACCTTTGAGAGTGAACCTCTGGGAGTATTAGGCGCTAAAAAGCTATGCTCATCATACAGTAATTTCGCTGAAATAGCTTCTCTATTAGTAATGAATGCCAGTGTTCTTTGGTATCTTATCTTTGCATGTAGATGTTGAGAAGCCACTATGCTTTGAAGTGCAACGGGTTTTTGCATTGATTTTAGATTTTTTACAATAGATAAGCAACTTTGTCCACAGCCAAAAAACTTTTAATTGGTCGCACGCTCTAAACCTTGCTTAAAACGCTTAAAGTAAAGACTTGTTTGAGTCCACTGAACTTGAGAGATGAATACAGAACTGTATGAACAGTCAAAAACATCTGATTATTTGCTCCGAAAAGAGCCGGAAAAAGAACAAATATTACAGCTTTTGCTGTCGAAAAATTTGTAAGGTCAGTAAAAATTCACAAACTCATCTGTTCTAGCAAATTTTGTTTGTGAATTTTAATTCTAACCTCAAATATAAACACCTCTAGAACCACATGTTGCACTGTTTGTCTTACAGTAACACGGCTTAATAACAAAATCTAAATAATGATCCAAAAAAGTTAAACTATTGAGTTTAAAAACAGACATCAATTAGCGCTTCAAAACAGAATAACCACTAGACGCTAAGAAAAGTGCTGCCATGTATTTCAATGGAGAAGCGTTATGATCACACTACCATGTCCAGCAGTATTATAACAACATTCATTTTGCTGATTTGTTCCGTTGTTGAAAGAACCTCCCCCTCCACCACAGGAAATATTTTTATTCGCACCTCCACTTCCCCCAGAGTACCCTCCACCTCCCCCAGGTAACTCACTATCTAGACTATAACCACCCCCACCTCCAAACCCACCCCGATATGCTCCCCCCAATCCCTTTCCCTTGGCTACAAATCCTTTACCTCCCTTTCCCCCTCTCTTAGAAATATCTGTGTTTTCTCCATCACTGTAGAAGCCACCGCCACCGCCACCACCTAAAATCAAGAGATTTACAGTTGACATTAGCTACTGAAAAGATCATGGCTTTTAGTAATTCTCAAAAAAATTCAAATTTAAGCGACCAGTACCACCTCTTTGTTCGAAATATAGATGGATGGCAGTAGAATGCAAAAAAAAAAAAAACAAAAACAAAAACAAAAAGAAAAAAATTCAGTATTTAGAAATAGAAAATTCTTCACCTACCAGAGTTCGGTTCATCAGTTTGTCCTCCATATCCGTTCATTCCTCCTGACAGGAATGGCGAGTTATACCCTGCATTCCCAGTTGTATTTATGGACGCATCACATCCTGAATATTGTTCTGTCATATTTGCAACTCCTCCTCCACCTCCGGCTATGATCAAAGGCTTGTTCTTTCCTCTTACTACAAATGTACCTCCTCCGCCTGAGCCAGTTTCTTTGTTAGAATACGCTTTTTCCCCTCTTTGACCAACAAGTATACTAATGTTCTCACCTTTGGTCAACATAAAGTTTCCAATAATCCGCGCCCCTCTCCCTCCGTTGATGACACTGTCCTTACTGTACCCCCCTGAGGCTCCTATTGTTTCTATTCTGTATTCACCAGTGTGTGGCACAGTCCATAGTTGAATACCGCTGGACACTGTAACTTGTCCGTCATGATCCTGACCTGTGTAGTGACTGCCAACTGAGTCTGGACCCTTTGTTCCACTCTTACCAAGAGTTGTAAAAACAGCTTTAAATCCTTCATAAAACACATTAAATAAAAATCAAAGTTATGATACTAGTAAGGAATTGTTATAAATAAATCACTTTTGGCTCTGCCAACACAGTAAAAACTCGCTTAAAAGAACAGGTGTTTTGGGGGTTCAGGCTGATTTTGTTCTTATACATTGGGTGTCTTCTGTAAAACCAACCTGAATATGCTCTTAAGGTGTTCTTAAAATTGTTTTTAAAAATTAAATATTGCATAGACTACCAACAGATAAAATCAGCATGTAAGCTGAATTAAAAAAGTTTTAATGATGACGTCATCTATACGTCTGTCCTCCAATAGATCATAAGTGAGAACCAATCAGAATGCGTGCATAACTGAGCCTATTATATAATAGGTTATATTACATTGTATCTATTTTTAGGTATCCATCTTCCATACTTTGGGTCAACTGTATAGGGCTTGTTTCTTCTCCTTTGTGTTTTCAAGGCTTCAATCCCTGTGGAATTTCTGGATCGTATCCCGGCCATCATCTGCCCCGACTTTTTCCTTGTTGGTCCTTCTCCTCAGTAATATGTTGTGTCTTTCCTTGAATCTCTGGATCCAGCTGCTGCTTCCTTTACATTTTGCAGCTTCTTCTGCGCCATAGCTTGCTTCGATTTTCGATTTTATTTTTTTTTTGAACCAAGGTTTGGACACTTTGCTTCCTGCTGATGTCCGTAGTTTAAACTCGGCGAGTAAAAGATTGGAAGTCAGAGGATATTTATCAGTGCGTTGGGATCTGTTCCTAGCGATACTCCTTTGTTTCATTGGCCTTGCCCCACCTGTGTTCTTCTTTGTCTTGTTCAGAGTCAGTTCTGCAAGAAGTTTGCTTCCGTTTTTTTCCCACTTAAACACCAGTGATCTGTTGACTCCTTGTTGCTTTGCAACTGTGTTGTACTTATTAGTTGATGACTTAAGTGAATCCAAAAGATCAGTGTTTTCTTTATGAAATCAACGGTGTATGACTTTTGCTCGTTACTTCCCCTTCGATTGTTGCTTCGCCTTTGAGTTTGACCTTGAGCAACACCGGCCGATTCATGTGGCACATCCTCAAGCTGTTGACTCTCAGCCATTCTCTGCATGTTTGTTTCACCTAAGTAGTTGTTGATGTTTACAAAAATAGTCAATGTATTTCTAGGTGCTGAGCTGATGCTGTTCGAGTTCTGTGCGGCAGAGGCCGGGTGCTTGAATTGTACATGGCTGTCCAGATATGGCTGACCTTTGAACGACCTGTCGCAGTGTTGCATTTAACAGTAAATAAATGTGGCCCATAATACCTTGTTCGTCTATTGTCTTAGTGACAATGACTGTTTTGCTGTACAGCGGTTTTCTGTTTTCTTGAAAATTGTTTAGAAGTCATTTCGAGTGAGGGAAAGTGAAGCTTCCATCTTGAATTTCTCTTGGGAAAAGTCAGCTTTCTGCACAAATCCAACTATAAAATGGCAGATGAATACGAATTATATGTTCAGGAAAGCTTGCGTGGGTACCACGCTTATTTTGTATATGCAACGGTGTATATTGGATAAGTTATGAACTGCGAGCAGGTAGACTCAGGCCATATTTCTTTTAACAGTCTTCCTTCGATTTAACACCGAAGTAGGTGTGATAGGTGTAGTTTGGTGTAGTAAGTGTAGTTGGTGAATGCTGGTGTAGTAGATGTAGTTTGGTATGGTTTCGTGTAGTAGATTTAATTACGCGTTGTTTGGTGTAGTAAGTGAAGTTTGATGTAGTAGGTACATATCGGTGTAGTTTGGTGTAATTCGGTTTAGTTTGTTGTAGTAGATGTAGTTTGCTGTAGAAAGTGTAGTTTGGTATAATAAGTTTCTTTTCGGGTGTAGTAGGTGTTTTTTGGTGTTGTGGGTGTTGTAAGTATAGTTTCGTGTATTTGGTTTAGTAGGTGTCGCAAAACCCTACTTAGTTGCGCCAAACTCTCCTCAGTTTTCGCCAAACACTCCTTTTTTGCGGCCAAACTTTCCTTAAATGGCAAAGAACACTGCTAACTTGTCGCAAAACCCTCCTTAATTATCGCCAAACTCTGCTCAGTTGTTACCAAACCCTTCTTAGGTGTCGCCAAACCCTCTTTACCTGTCGCCAAACTTTCCATAGTCATCGCCAAAACCTCCTCAGCTGCCGTAATTAGTTGTCGCAAAACACTCCTTAGTTGTCGCCAAACTCTTTTTAGTTGTTGCAATACACTCTTTAGTTGTGGCAAACCACTTCTTAGTTTTTGCAAAACCCTCCTTAGTTGCCACCAAATTCTTCTTAGTTGTCGCTAAACTCATTACACTCCCATCCCCCGACCGAGTAAATGTATATCATTTTTTATTTAAAAAAATTTACCTTCGGAAGATAAATTTAAAGATTTACCTTCCAAATGCATATTACAGTAAACCAGAATTCCCTTCCCAGTGCCAGATGGATCCAGCCAGTATTTGTTGCTCGCGGTGTCTTTCCCTTCGTTTGCTTTTATCTCTTGACATGAACGTGCTGGTAACTCTGGAATCGAACCCAAGGGAACTGGTAAGGATAAAAATGTTGAAATTAAATATATGTAGGTGCACTAGTCGGAAGCCGAGAGTGAAAAACACGAGAGAATTAGAATGAGGATCTAATCCCATTCACTTAAATTTCCGCCTTTGAATGTGTTAAATTAAATGCTCTGTCAAGCACCCTTTTCTTGGAAAGTGGGCCCCCCACACTTTTAAACCCTTCCTTTAGCCACCAGCTTTTTTATCTTCTTTCAAGACCCTAAGCTTTTTGTATCATTTTAAAGAAGAAATTGAAAAAAATAATTTGTTGTCACTATTTCATACATGTATCAAAGCTGTTTTGCGAAGAAGTTAACTAAAAGTTGAATTGAATAAAGGGGGTAAGTTTCTAAAGAAAGTGTGGTGCTGCGTCGGTGGGAGAGTATAACAAGGTTATTTGGTGCTATCAACTGAGTTGATACGTCAAAGTGAATGGAAGAAATGTGGGTTTTGTGTTTATCTGCAGAGGATGGAGCTACGTTATTGGTGGGAAACGACAAATCAACTACAAAGAAAAGGGATAGAACTAATTTCGTTCATCATTAGAATTGAGAAATGATAGAAAAATCAATACCGATGAGCGTGGGAGATCAGAAAACAAGGACTGTAAGCAAAGTCGAGCGTATAACCAAAATATTGATAATTATTATCCAACATTATTGGCTGAATAGTTACCTCTTCCGCTCAAACGACGAATATAAAACCACGCTGGATCCGAGCGGAAATTCTCGGGCCTTGCGTCCTTTGTGCGGTTGTTCAACTCACAGATCTGTTCTTTTCTGTTGAAATTGTAGCTCTGGCATATAATTTCCCTTTCACATAAGAAATCACAGATATGAGGAGCTGCTACTGTCATTCTCTTGAAAACGAAACCTTTGAGAGCCATGCCATGAATATTAATTTCTATCCTGCATTGATCCCCAGCGGTTACAAGGTTGGTGAACGAAACACAGGCAAGAAAATAACGAAATATCCACAGCATTTTTCCTGAAAAACAAAATTCATAGATAGGTATTACAGAATCAATGAATTAACCTTTTTTCTCAAAGGCTGACTATGAACAGCAGATAATAAGAACAACTGTTCCCCCTCCCGCTCCCTTCTATAACTCTCTTTTTTTAAAGGCTGACTATGAACAGCAGATAATAAGAATAACTGTACCCCCTCCCGCTCCCTTCTATAACTCTCTTTTTTTAAAGGCTGACTATGAACAGCAGATAATAAGAATAACTGTACCCCCCTCCCGCTCCCTTCTATAACTCTCTTTTTTTAAAGGCTGACTATGAACAGCAGATAATAAGAATAACTGTACCCCCCTCCCGCTCCCTTCTATAACTCTCTTTTTTTAAAGACTGACTATGAACAGCAGATAATAAGAATAACTGTACCCCCCTCCCGCTCCCTTCTATAACTCTCTCTTTTTTTAAAGACTGACTATGAACAGCAGATAATAAGAATAACTGTACCCCCCTCCCGCTCCCTTCTATAACTCTCTTTTTTTAAAGGCTGACTATGAACAGCAGATAATAAGAACAACTGTGAACCCCCCCCCTCCCGCTCCCTTCTATAACTCTCTTTTTTTAACGACTGACTATGAACAGCAGATAATAAGAATAACTGTACCCCCCTCCCGCTCCCTTCTATAACTCTCTTTTTTTAAAGACTGACTATGAACAGCAGATAATAAGAATAACTGTACCCCCCTCCCGCTCCCTTCTATAACTCTCTTTTTTTAAAGGCTGACTATGAACAGCAGATAATAAGAATAACTGTACCCCCCTCCCGCTCCCTTCTATAACTCTCTTTTTTTAAAGACTGACTATGAACAGCAGATAATAAGAATAACTGTGCCCCCCCCCTCCCGCTCCCTTCTATAACTCTCTTTTTTTAAAGGCTGACTATGAACAGCAGATAATAAGAACAACTGTTCCCCCCCCCCTCCCGCTCCCTTCTATAACTCTCTTTTTTTAAAGACTGACTATGAACAGCAGATAATAAGAATAACTGTACCCCCCTCCCGCTCCCTTCTATAACTCTCTTTTTTTAAAGGCTGACTATGAACAGCAGATAATAAGAAAAACTGTTACCCCCCCCCCCTCCCGCTCCCTTCTATAACTCTCTTTTTTTAAAGACTGACTATGAACAGCAGATAATAAGAATAACTGTACCCCCTCCCGCTCCCTTCTATAACTCTCTTTTTTTAAAGGCTGACTATGAACAGCAG